AAAAAAAAAAAAAAAAAAAAAAAAAAAAGGGATATGAACCAAAAGACTAAATAACCCAAAAAGACATAAACCAAAAAATAAAACCAACTTTAAAATCATGATTCGTGGGAGGCCTGACTCACACCTTCTGAAGAGCTCGAGATTGATATATATTACCTGCAGTCTTTCCCTAGCTGTGTTAATTCCCTTTGCAGACTTTACTGAAATTGTTCCAGAGGGGTGAATAATTACCACTCCATGGTTATATGATAGCATTAATTTTCCTGAGTAAGATCTATGTTATATGAAGACTTATAATTCACCTTTCGTCCAAAACATCATTAATTCAGTTTCTCAACCTAGAAACTAAATAGCTTCTGTCTTTGGGCAAGTCTACACTTCTCAGAGGACTGCCATGAGGAGCCCATGAGCTACTTTAGACTGAGCTGGCTCCCAAACTGAAATCAAAGGCCACAACAGCACAGCATTGTAGCGCAACTCATTATGCTAAGAAGAGGGTTTAGCACACAGTTACACCCAACCTAATAAAAGCAGTTACACTGCTTCAATAACCTGGGCTGCTTTTTCATCTAACCCTTACCTCTGTTACAGGTACGGGTCAAACTGACCAGACTTTCAGACAGAAACATGTGCAACTCGCTCTGTGGTTTAGTGAAGTACAGTTCCCTGTACCCCTGAAAAGTACCACATGCCTGTAAAACTGGCGTGACCCTATCCACTGGCATCCAGAGTCTCTGATCAGCAAAACATGTTGGGGAGCGTTAGAGTTTTCATAATCTTCTGTATCTGTAATGGCTGAGGTTTCTTGAGCCTTGTCTAGCTATTGAGGAAATTAATTATACTTCACTAGGAGTATTTAAGTGAGAGAGCTCCTCCCTGTGTGCTAACAGCAAGGCTTTCTCAAAGGTGTGGGGGGGGTAAATTTTCAAATACGCTGCACACAGAGATTCAAGTCATTTATTCTAATCAATCTCAGAACAAAATACTTGAAACAGTTTTAATTCTTCTGCCAAATCATGACTTCATAAATCTAGTTTATGCAGTTCTTGACAGCTAGCACCTGGATTAGAGGAAAAGAGAGAGTTAACCTACCTCTTCTCCTACGGACAACACTCAAGCATTCCAATGCAGTAATAAGTTTCCCAAGCCTTTTTTTTCCCCTATCGTGTATGTGTGCACGTCCACATATGAGAAAAAGTGTGGCTTAAAGAGTATTTACAGACTTTGACATTGCCAAAAAAGCTCCAGGCCACCTATGGACTGCTTTGTTCTCCCAAGACGTTTTACACAGCATATTCCATCTTCCATTTATCACGATGCCCTGGGAAGACAGAGCTGGCACAGTGTTTTTACCAGTAAATGCTACTAGTTTTGTGAGGTTTTTTATTTCCAAAGGGCATCAGATCCCATTACTCCCTGCTACCTTAAACTAATGACAGAAGCAAAAACTAAGAGGAAAAAATTATTAACAGGCTCACATGCACTGCTGCGGCCTTAATCCTAGGTCTATGCTATATATTCCGTACCAAATGCTGTGCAGTGTGCCTCCTTAATATGGATTATTTGAATTTTTGATAACCAGCACCTGTCACATGGTAACATTACTTTAACTAAACTCTGAAGTACCTATCTGGGATGGAAAACTTACAGTGTAGTCCAAAACAATGTTTACAGACTCTGGATTCCGGGAACTCTGGAAGCACAGTCTTGTGTATTACAGAACCACAAAAAGCCAACACCTCCATTTGTGGTTGAAAATAACCACTGAAGAATGATATACAGTGGGTGGCAAAAACAGTCACAATTGTAAAAAACCAAGCAAATAATAAGCTGTGTCCATAGGGGATAAAAATGCTATAATTTCCAAAATGCTATAAATAAGTCGGAGGTTATTGCTGCAGCACACAGACCAAGTTTGCAATCACAGGGCTATTCTTCATGTCTGTTTTAAAAAAAGCAAGCTGAAATTGTTCGACAGCAGACAGAGTGGCACCGTGCGCATTGTTTGGGCTCCCAGCGATGGTGAATTGCACTATATGGAAGCTTTGTAGAAAAGGGAGATCCTGCCACCTCCTTGAATTTAGCCCTCTTGAATATAAACAATAAGCCTTCCTTTTTAAGTTGCAATGTTTGTATGTGGGAACACGACAGCATCAGTCCTGCTTCCCATTCCTCCCTTTCCCATTTGGGCAAAGCTGGAGACCAAAGGCTGACCAGAGTGCCAAAGCCCAAGTTTGCTGATGACTAGTGCAAACCACCTTGGTCCTCAGAGAATTTCAACATGACATTTTTGCAATTTTAATCAGAGAAAGAGACTGGCTTTCACAGTGTGGAGACCAGCTGTCTGGTTATGTTTTCCATAAAAGATACAAACTGGAAGAGATTCAGGAAAGTTATGTGCACACTTCGTTTTATACTGAGCAAATTAGAGCAGGTCATAATTATTCAACAATTCAAAAATCATAATACAGTCTAAGTTCATCTTTCAAAATGCAGGGGGATTTTGCCCTCCAATAAGCAGATGCTTACCTGACAGGTAGGACAACTTGGAAGCCAAGGAGAGTGAGGAAAGAGTAGAGAAGTATGAAGACTGCTTTGATTTCAGATAGCTATTTAGTATTGCAAATGTCAGCAATATGGCACTGAGAGATGTAAACCATCTGACACTACAGGCACAAGGAAATCACTGTCATATAAACTTACAAATTCTCCCAAGTTGCTTACTGACGTCACTGCTTTTTTTTTTGACAGGCAAGAAATAGCTTCCAAAAACAAAGAAACAAACACACAACAACAACAACAAATCAGAGCTGACTACAAAAGTAAAGAGAAAATTTTGTGTGAAAGGCCAGGTAACTATTGATGTTGACTAAATATGATTATATAAATAGGTATCTTTGTAAGTTTCATTATTTCTACTTTAGTTATGTATTAATGAGCAAAAATTACTAATAAAATTTTCCAAAATTATTAATAGAAGGTACATATCATATACTGCTGCAATACAGCCACCTCTAAAACATGGTGACTACTTAAGAAGACACAACAGAACTGCAAATTCTAACAGTTCAGTGGTTAAATACTGGTAAAAAGCTGAGAAATAATATGTAAGCTAAAAAATACTAACTTCTATAATACTGAATAGATGTAATAATATAGAACTGTAATTAGTTAGAAATCTACGTTATATTTATATTGGAAATATATAATAACTATCAGTATTGAAAAAAAGAATACAGAAAATGAACCTGAAAGGTTACAAATTGTTAGCAATGGAGCACATGAAGCAGGCAATGGCAGATGATGATGGAAGGAAGGAAGATAATGCATTCCCTGTAAGAGACTGGTTACATATTTTCTCCATCTTCTTAAAAGATTTTTTTTACACTGTGGTTACTACTAGACAGACTCATAAGAAAAAGATTGACCTGCTGTGAATGCAAACCTAACAGAAGGGAAGCAGGGAAGGACGAAACCACTGATTTATTGCCAATGAGCTACCAGCAACAATTTGAACACACAGACAGAATGAGAAAATTCTACTAGCATAGTTACCGTGTTCATGGGAATGAGTTTACCAGAAGTGGGAATTAGAAAAATATTCTTCAGAGGACCTTGAGCCTTTTCTACATCACAAAAATCAGAAGCAATTTTGGACACTAACCCAGCATCACGTGCATTTTATCAGTAACCTCAACATGCATTTATAATTAAAAAAAAAAAATCAGTAAGTATCTATAGGTTTCCAGTCTCTTTGTTATGACCTGTTTTTTTCTGCATCTGCATGAGTTTGAAAATCAAACTTGCAAGAGCACCATTTATTGTATCCCTTGTACTGCTGGTTAGCAATTACCTTGTTTCCGCTCAAGAATTACATATTACAGATAAATGCTATTTTGCTGGCAATAGGCAGCAAGAAGGAAATAGATCACTGTAAAAACAAACATGTACAACTAAAACCAGCACTACTGCAGCAAGATATGTTTCCTTTATATATCACATTACCTCTTTTTTTTTTAGCAGTAATAGTTCCACCAACATTCAAAGCTTGACATGAAAGCTATAGGATGTGCCAGGCTGCCAGAGCAGCACCACTGCAGTCAGCAGCAGTACAGGACAGGGAAGAAATACATACTCTAAGGAAACCATCATTAAGTCTCTCCACTACCACCAGATATGTATCCTGTAGTGGCCTATACTGCCTCTCAGAGATTTTGTTCCTAGTTAGTCACAGACATCAGGTTAAACATGAATTTGATGCCTGTGATTCCTCTGGCAAAGAAAGAGCAAAGGCCTTGGGGATGGGAGCTGGGTGCTGGGTCTCTCTATCAGTCCAGCCCCCCCACTGCCAGTTATGTGGTCTCTGTTTCATTTTGAAGGAAAGTTAGAAAGGTTATGTCTTCAACATCACCTCTCTAAACCCTTCCATAGTAATCTTGCACCATTACATACGTAACAGTCAGGGAAACAAGGGTTCAGCGAGCAAAGAGTGAATTTACCACACCGACACCTTCCCTTGTGCAGGTATCTTTGCCACACATCCAGAGCAAGATGCTTGGTGTGAGGCAGCTCAGTCTGGTTGGGATGCACTCAGTGTTAAAGAAGCATATTAACATGGCATCAAAATGGAGTAGTTAACTCCAAACTCACCCTCCAGCTTAACACGCAGTGACTTTGTTTACTACAAAAACTGGAACTAAACCAAATGGTGTCTTATTGAAATCTTTCCCCCTGAAAAGCATTTCTCTACACGGACCTCTTTTTTTTAATTGATTTTTTTTTAGTCTTACAAGTACTTTTATGTCAGTATCAACTTAAATTTAAGACTCTTAATAAAGTGAATATGCTGGAAAACAACAAGCCTTATTCATATTACCTAATCTAAAAAGATATATTATTTTAAATTGGATTCCCTTCTGCCCTTATCTACAAAATATTTTAAAAATAGAACAAAGAGAGGAATTTAAAATGTTTCCCAAATAAAATTCACCTTGGCAGTCATCCAGAGTAAATATTTTGATACAATTTGCAGAAACAGCATTAGGTAATATTTTATGATGCTCATTAAGCTGTCATGTTCTAAATCACAACCGGCATCAAATGATTTCTGCCCTTCTCTACTATTTAAGTTTGGCAAATACACACTGTATAAAAGGTGTCAAGTAAAATTGCCACAGGATATACTGGAAATCCCTGCACCAGCTGCATACTCAAGCATAAAGGAAGTATCTTTCTGATCCTACAGCCTGATAATACTGGAGTTGCTGGAGGGTTACAGCAGTCTTTGAAAATAAAGCTTCATTACACTGGCATGGAGAGGAGCAGTTTAATCCGCTTTGGAAGCTGGTCCTGCAATCCTACATTTTAGAAAATCGCTGAAAGCCATTGCGCTTTTGATGGGAATTGGTCATTAAGAGTACAGGTGCAGACCATGCAAGAGGCAGTGTCAGCACAACCTCTTCCCATATTTTCTGCTTCTTAGGAATTCCATCTGATAATGGCAGAAGCAGGTTGTAACAGCACCTTTTTGCCATGGATTAAGTTGTTGTTCATTTGGAGATGTAAGAGAGACACTTTCTTCTTCAGGACTTCATTTCCTCTGCATGTTAAAAGAAAGAAAAAAATACACCACTTTCTTCCCATAGCTGAAAATGAACCTTACTTTCCTACAGACACTTTCTCATTTGTATAAACTTTGGACACTTAACAGAATTGCTATGCTCTTGGCATAAAATGCAAATTTAATAAAGCATTTAAGTCAAAGTGTATCAAGAAACATATTTTTACTAATTATAGTATATATTTAATAAGTCCAGCATATATTACATGAGCTTTTGAACTTGTAATGGCAATAAACACTCCTGACACATTAAATAAATCCAAAATAAACCACTGTTGATATTTATAATCAAATACATCTTTGCCTGACCCCAGTGAAATTTTACCAACAATATGTTTCATCTCTGACTAAGCTGATGTTTTCTTCCAGTCTCAATATCATCAATGCTGATAGCAATTCTATGAAACAGCTTTCCAAAAGAAGGAAAACAATGAGAATCAAACAGAAATGGCTAGCAGGTTCTTCAAATGCTTATTCAATTTAAATTTTGCATCAATACTGTTGTGGGTTTTTTTACTTAAAGTTTGTGGTAGTTTGTTTGTTTGTTGTTTGTTTTAAAGGTTGACACTTCTTTTAGTAGAACTGATGGAAAAAATGCATTTATGGAGCTACTTCAAATTTTCCAAGTGAGGGACACTGTTTTTCATAGCCGCATTTTTACCCATTTTTACAGTCTTTAGGGTGGAATCCTTTTTAATGGCCACATGGTGGTAGCACTACAGGGTCTTTCACATGGACATTCCAAGAAATCACAACTGACAAGATTCAGACTGAGCAGTTTAAGATAACAAGTTTTACAGACAAGAACCTTTTGCAGGCTTTTTGATTCTTTTCAAGTAACCTGAAGCACTTCCAAAGAGCATAGGACATATAAGAGAAAGAAAATTTTATTATAGTATCATGAAAATAGCTGACTTCTAATGAGAAAAAAGCCAAATGACCAAGGAAATATCAAAAGCACATGTCCTCACGAGACAGTTCCTTACATAAATGGCAAGAGAAGGTTTTTCCTTTAAAGATGCTAAACTAATATTTTGGAGGTTGCCAAAAACCTGAAAAGACAGTACAATAAAACTGAAAATCAGTATCAGAATACAGGTAGTAAAAGAGCCATGTTCAAGACTGACTTCATAAAAATGGTATCATGCATTTCCATGTCTGAAGATCAAATCTGGTTCTTCTGTCCTGAACTGATGGCCTTCAAGAAATCATCTGTTATCTGTAAATTAAAATGCCTGTTCTTCTCCTTGGCACTAACAATAAACATTTTGCAAGCAAAACAGTAAGCAGTTCTACTGATTACATGCACGTACAATATGGTGATACAGTCACTTTTGTCAGCAAGTGAATTAACAGAAACAATGGTAACAAAAACCTTCCTGCAGTCACCAGTGTAAGCTGGTACAGATCTAAATACATACGGAAAATTCTACCCAGTTACTTTCAAGCTTTGGTAGAAGATATTCTAGTCTGACCTTTATGCTGGGGATCAAAAACAGCTATTGCTAGTGCCCTGGCGAGGTTTTCTTACCAGCGGTGCCAAAGCAGGGCAGGTCTTCTGCTGGACACGTTCACTCATGGGCAGGTAAGAACTGCTTGGGCACACGGTAGCTGATGTCAGCCTCGGCTGCACTGACCATCAGTGAGAGCTTAAACACTGAAGGAAAGTAAGAAAGGCAAGTGGCAGAAGAAAGATGTGGGTTTCAGAACAGTAGACTTTGGATTACTCAGGGAAAAGAAGCAGCTGTCCTGACATGATAAAGTGCCCAGAAGAGGTCACTATCTATAAGGACCAACTCCTCACTGCTCCAGAGGGGTCCTTCCTAAGGTGCAGAAGTTGAGCAGAATAGGGAGCTTCAGTCTGAACTCTACCACAAAACCAGAATGAATGGTCATAGATTGAGATTAATATAGAAGAACGCCTCAGGCATGCAAGAATGGCCTTGGGAAAGGCAAAGTTCATCTCAATTTAGCATTAACAAGAGATGTAAAGAGCAACAAGGGCTTCATCACTAAAGCAGCAGCAAAAGATTAAGAAAATCTTCGACTGCTGCCAAATGTGACAGGCACAAAGGACTCAGTTCAGCCTGGAATATCAATCACACTTGCTTTGAAAGTCATAGACCTGCCAAAAAAAGGAAGTGAAGTACAAAAATGCTCTGATAAAATACTATCACAGACTTGCACACAAATGTGTGATGACTTTTGTTAAAACTCTTTTTGTTAAATCAGCTATTTCAGAACTGATTATCACAGGAATCATATTTAATGTTTTAGAAACAGTGATATTGCAGATTAATAAAAATGCTCCTCCTCTCTCAGGGAAAAGGAAGAGGGAAAAGAGATGGACTAAAATATTCTGATGCTATGAATTCAAAAATATGGTATTTTGCCTACATATTAAAAACTAGGTGCTAAAGCAAACTGGAGACAAATTAAATAGACAAGAGATCTTTAAATAATACATAATCACAAGGTGCTAAAGACAGTCAAGAAAGTTTATAAATACTATTTCTACTAGAATTCATTGCTTCCTTATCTTTTAGCTCTCTAACTAACAAATCCTTGAGTGCAGCTGTTCTAGTTCCACCAGAGTTGTTCTACTTCAGGACACAGTGAAACTTTGTGCCAAAATCTGTATAAAATCACCTGCTACAATATGGAATATTTGACCACATTAGCACTGATCCTCTGCTATGAACCATATTATCACAAATAACATGTAAACTCCCCAGTACGTCACCTCATGTACACATATTTAGCATAGATGGCTCCTGCCTAAGAAGCAATTTACACGGGATTAAAGTTCCACATCCACAGAACTCCCAAGGATTTCAATACACAGTGCTTGTTTTAACAACTCTGATGGTAATTATTTCTCTTTTCTACAGTGACAAAACACTTTGTCATTTGCCCATCATAAACTGGAATAATGTAGACAGCAATAAAGCAAATGTGCAAAGGAACCTGCATTCCAGACAATGATGTGTGAGCTACACAGATCTGTTTGTGGTCATACTTTCATTCTGCACAATATGTTAACTTCCACAGTTTAAACCACAAGATTCATACAATCTATCTAAGCTCAGCCCAGAAGATGGTCAAGTCCCTTTGGCTAAGCGTTTCAGTGTGTCATTCACACATATTAATCACCTACCGTAACTTTACTACTTACTTGCCATCAACTTCTGGTCTTTTGCACACACAGTGAAACTTGCCACCAAAATCTATGTAAAGGTCATCTCCTACAATATGGAATATTTGACCAATGGCAATTTTATCTTTGGCAGGCCCCATCTGAATTAAAGGAGAACTTCTCAACATGGATGCAAAGGATTCCGATTTCTCTGAAGGAACCTACAGACGAATAAGAAAAGAAAAAGCATTTCACAAAACGTGCTTTCTGAAGGAGGAATTGAATTAAACTTGTAACTTACAAAAAGGATTGATTCACTGAATAACAAGTAAAGATTTCATGTGCAAGGTACATTTTCAGCAAGACTTCCAAGGAGGTATCTGGTACATTTCTCCATCTCTGAACATTTTACACATTAAAGGTAAAGCTTTTATTAATTCAGTAACAGAAAAACATCACACTGTGCATCCCCTGAAAACATCGGTCAGTTCAACTCTTGGTTAGGTAAGTTGATTTAAAAATGTATTCCAAATGTAGGAGATGCTCCTGAAAAGAACATTGCACATCTCTTTGTTATCTCCTCTGTGAAAACTAAACCAGAATTAGTACCTTGCAGCTATTCATGCAACTATTTAAAAATTAATAACATTTAAACCACTATTTTAAAGAACAAAAACGTTTTGCCAAGGTAGCAAAAGCAGAAAGCATGCCCAGGACTAATCTAATAAATGAAAGAAAAACAAAAATTGAACCATCACTTCTTTCATTTTTCACTCTAAAAAATCAAAGTAAATAAATAAACAAAATGCCAGTTTCTTCTCATAAAGCTTTGAAAAAACAGGAGAACATAAAATCTTCCTGCTATTCTTCATAGAGAGAGAGAGATCTCTGTTCTGCTGACCCAAGAAAACTGACTATCATAGGTTTCCCACTGTATGCCAGGTGAAAATATCCAGCTATATCAAAGTGTAACTCAATCTCACATATACTTTCCCCGATATAGTAAATCTGACCACTTTTTATGAGTATTTGAAATGCAATTAGTAAGAAAAGCCTTCTTGCTAGTAACAAATTAAAAGGGAGAAGCATTTTGGAAGCAATACCTACCTGAAGGTGAATCTAAGGAAATCATATTATAGATGGCTAAACAGATTGAAAAAATTAAAACCTATTAATTTTTCTCCACATTTAGCAGTAATTAACTGATAATAATTACTTTGTGTAAGATGTCAAACTATTTTGGAACCAGCAGAAGAACTAAACTGAACAAAATAATCAAGCAATTTAAAGTTTAGTGATCTGCTGGCTTCAGCAACACACTTTCCCACTGATTACTTCAAGCAGATGCTGAAAATCCATCTATACTTTATACAAACAAAGGATAATGCCATCATTTTCCACTTTTACATTTGGAAACTTTTATTCTTGGGGAAGTTAAAACATGAGACAGTTTTGAATTCCAGCTCTGCTGGAAGGTACAAACAGCACAAATTTTTCTGATGGGACATAGCCTCAGGAATCATAAGCTGGAGATCTGACACTGGTAAATCTGCTGCTTCAGAAACAGGAGCTGTTAAATGTGGCATCCCAAGGACAAGGGCTGAACAACGTGCAACACGCACACACACCAAAGGAAGAGCATCTGGCAGTGGTAAACCACAACAGAGCAGTAGGACGTTGCACAGGAACGCTAGTATCAGATAAGGTTCCAAACATAGGATTGTTTGAATTCCACAATGCACTCTGAATTCAAATACATGAAAATTAATTATACAGGATGCATTTGTAAGTGCTCCAAGAAAAAAAATGCAACGTAGTGGAAAAAGTAAGAGGAAGTATTTAAATTTGATTTATCATATTAATTAAGGGGGCAGCAGAAAACTTTAAATCAATGTATAAATTGTAAGCTAGAAAGAAACATTTCAAAATTAACATCCCCTTCAAAATTACTCTGTCTGGGAAGGAGTTTAGAAATCAATCATCATGTTGAAATATCAAAACCTGTTTAAAGGGAAACTAAGGTACAATAAAGTGCAAATTCAGTGGTCTTCCACAGAAGAGCAAAGGTAAGAACGTGGCAGCAATGTATAAACTCAGGATGACAAGGACTACTATCATTTCATCCCAGAATATTTTCTGTTATCCTTCAATGCAAGGTAAACTAATAAGAAAATTAGTCTGGAAAAAAAAAACACAACAAACAACCAAAACAAACCCAACCCCCTCCCCCCGCAAAAAACTCCCAAAACAACGAAACAAAACACCCACAGAGGTAGGCAGGTGTCATCATTTGTAGGATATATATGGCCAAACATATAGAGCAACTTTATTTGGACATTTTAACAGAAGATGAGGAAGTCCACCTATGGTTTCAACTAATTCAATGAATGCCACTGAAATCAGATACTACAAAAGAACTGCCTTTTCTTACATGTAGATTATCTGCAAAAAGCCGTAGCTAGTAAAGAGGATCAAGAGAAGAGTGTTTGGTTTGAAGGAGATTTTCTAAAGTTATCTACAGAAATGGCATTAGTAATGGCCATTGAGCAACACTGACATTTCTTTGCTAAGCAGTTAATACAATTCTCAGCAAATTCCTTCATCTCTTGGCAATTAAACCCATGCAACGGCATTCATCTCATTCATGTTCTCTTCATATGATGGTACACTCAGCAGGCTCTCTACACCTAAAAAAATTCACAAGCAGCAAGTATTTCTCTCCACATCATGAAGATGAGTACACTAATATCCTGTGGATTTCCTGTTTTCAGCACCTAAAAATGGTCCCTTCCAGTTAATGACAACTCTCTCCTTTATTTCCCTGGCAGGAAAAAATACAGATACAAAACTCTCCCATGTGCAAACTTGCCTGTGAAATAACCTCTGTACAAAACACACAAGTGCTATCTTTACACACCGACAGATGTTCCTTGTTAGAACACAAATTTAAGTAAAATACAGATGTTAATGTACAAAGAAGTTCTTCACTGTGGAAAGTTTTCCAAGAAGATACCGGGAATCAGTTTGAATTCTATCACAGGCCTACAAGTCTGCAGTGTTCTCTATTCTATGTTGTGGAGAGGAACTTCTCAAGAGCACAAGCAGCTAATTTACATATACAAGAATCCTTGAGAGATGCCATTAGTTACTGCCATCAAGGACTCTTTTGTGGACAGTCTACAAACAGAGTGAGTCAAAATGCAGTATTTTCTCCAGTTTTCTGCATAACCTAAAGCAGATCTCATTAAACAGTAATTTATTTCAAGCATTTAAAGAGATTTAATGACATTTTGAGTGCTTTCCTCTATGATTTCTAAATCTCCTTAACTGGATTCTCCATGGCAGCATTACAGAAAACCAGTAAGACCGTATAATAAAGGTGTAATATACTTTATTAAGCACTCCACTTCTCTGGTTCTCAAGGAGTGTTGACCATGCAGTTCTGATAGATAATGAATCGATAACATGTCAAGTTTCAAAAACTAGAGCATATTACAAAATTCAGAAGCACAAATGACACATTCTTTTCAAGTACCTGAAATATAAAGTTTTTTTTCACCTCCTCCTCCTTCTTAGATGCCTAACTCTAAAATTTCCCTTCTAATTTCTGGATTTCAATGTTTTTCACAAGTACTTGGACACCTTTCTGCACCCATAGTTCAATAAAAAGCAACAGCTCCTCCAATAATAGACCTCCAAGATGATACTTATTAACCAGAGAGAAGGAAAAGTCATAGATTTAAACCCAGTAAGATCCAAACAAAAGAAGTAACTCCAGCAGAGGAATATAACATACTAATTCTGGAGCAAAGCCTATGGCTGTACAAGCAGGGAGGTCCTTTCCCACCCACTGAGCAAAATATCTGAAATCCCAGGCTACGTGCCTTCTGTTTGCTTGCAATGGCAAGTAGCATGCATGCTGGAATGTGGGATGCATGGATGAGACAAGGAGAAGAGATGGAAGATTGGTAATCTGATTGCTACAATGAAGGGGTGAGTGACATTAACATCAAGCAGCATGCAAAGAACACAACCCTCTGCAGTGATCAGATTTTGTTTTCCTCAGCACTGTTTTCCATAGTTAGAAAGAATTTTCTGTCCAAAGTTAGTTACATAAAACAACAACAAGGAAAAAACGATTTGCAGTAACAGGTTAGTAGGCTATCACATTAGCTAAAGGCCCCAACTGCTTGGATACTAAAAACAGGACTGGAAAAGGCCCTGATCAATCTGAACAAAGTTTGTCCTGCAAGGATTTTGAACAGATCACCTCCTGAGATCACTTTCAACATGCACTATTTTACTTAGGACAGACAACTGGAGCCTACTACAAAAAATATTAAACCAAACCCCAATATATTTAGCTACCCACTGAACAAGTACCTATTGACAAGGCACTTATTTCACCCAGCAACCTCAGAAATTTTGCTATGTTCTAGTCCAGCAGACCTTCATTTTCCATACCTTTTAACTACTGGAAGTGTGCACTATTGCTTAGACATGAACCTAAATCCCACCAATTTTGTAAGTGCTGCAGGCATTACTAGGGTAACAGCTCATAGAAATTTATGCTGTTTATTTACCAAATTTCTCTCTAGGGTATGTCTACTACTTTTTACTCAAATGAATGCAACAAGTCAAAACTCCATTTTGCAGAAGAATATCGCCTTAAAGACACCAGGACCAACTCTGACAATATACCTCAAAATGTGACATCTATCAGTTAATGGCCTTCCACCCAGAAGCAGCACGACAGGCACTGCCAACTCAAGAACTCTCCTGAATTTATCAAAGAACAATCATCAAGCTTTGTTTTCACCAATAAGGTCTCCCTGCACACTGAAGTTCTCCCAAGAAACAATGCTGAAGACTCAGGAGGAGCACTTAGAGGACTGATCTATGACTACAGCGACTGAAATTTCAACATGCAAGCTCCAAGTGCTTCCTCCAGGTGCTGCCTTCTTTTCATACATGACACTATTTGGTCTAATGCTGATAACTTTATTGAGAAGTTCCATGTATTTTATTCTGGTCTCAGAATATAATCACTCAAATTTTAGCCCTCATGCCTTTAACCCATCTCAGAGATGGAAAGCTCTCAGTCTCCCCTCAACCAAATAAGTTCCTTTGAACATTTTCATAACATTGTGCCTAGCAGTATTCAGTGATTTTAGAGCTTCCCCAAACAAAAAACTCTGCTTCCTGTATTAGTAGGAAAGAA